TGTTGAAGGTGCAGCATTAGGGTGTTTATTTGTTCCCGTTCTGTTTTCCTAATGTGTGAGTTCACAGCTATGAATTTCCCTGTGAGAACTGCTTTCAACGTATCCCATATATTACGATAAGTAGTGCTTGAATTTTCACTGAAATGTAGGTATTGTTGAATTTCTTGTTTAATTTCTTCTGTGACCCATTGGTTGCCGAGTATGGTGTCATTTAATTTCCATGTATTTAAGGGATATTTCTGGTTTCTTTTGTCTTTTATTTCCAGTTTCATTGCACTGTGGTCAGATAATGTGAATGGGATAATTTCTGTTTTGTTTACATATACTGAAGCATGACCTATAGACCAGTATGTGGTCTATTTTAGAAAATGCCTCATGTGCAGCTTAGAAAAATGTATATTCCGCTGTGTTTGTGTGCAACACTCTGTATGTGTCCATGCAGGCCGTTTGTTTCAAGATTTGGTTTAGTTCTGTTATTTCTTTGCCAAGTTTTTTTCTGGTTGACCTATCTTTGGGGATAAAGAGGTGTTAAGTTCTCCTGTTAAAACTGTGGTATCTGATATTAGATTTTTCATGTTCATTAAGATTTGCTTTATATAGTTTTTGCTCCTGTGTTTGGTGCATATATACTTATGAGTGTTTTCTCTTCCTCTTGAATTTTTCCCCTAACCAGTATGTAGTGGCTATCTTTCTTTCGCGTGATCATTGTTTGAAGTTGAGACTGTCTGAGAATAGGATTGCTACCCCTGCTTTTTTCTGAGGTGCTTGGGCATGTAGTATTGTCTTCCATTCTTTGAGTTTCAGCCTATGAATGTCTTTATTAGATAAATGTGTTTCTTTTTTACAGCATATTGTTGGATTTTGTTTCCTAATTCTGTGTGATAGCCTATTTCAGTTAATTGGTTAATTGAATCCATTTTCATTGATGGTTATAATTGAGATGTATTGGATTATGATTGATATGTTATTTCCCTGTTTTCCTTTACTCCTTTATACCTTTAATTGCTTGCTCTATTTAGTTGGTTGCTTCTGATCTGCTTCATGGATTTCTGATCATTTTGTTCCCTCTCTAGGACATGCTTCAGTAGCCTGTGTAGGGTTGGCTTTGTCATCAAGAAATTCTTTTACTGTTGTTTGTCATGAAAGTATTTCACTTCTCCATCAAACCTGAAAGAGTGTTTTTCAGGGCATAGTAGTCTGGGCTGGAATTAGTTTCATAGAGGAGTTGACGTACTCTGCTTCATGCTCTTCTTGTCTTCACGGTCTGTGAAGAGAAGTTGGCCAAAATTCTGATGGGTTTTCCTTTGAATGTGATCTGCTTCTTTTCTCTAGTGCCTTTCAGTATATTATTCTTGTGCTGAATTTCTGGGATCTTGACTATTATATGT